TGAAGAGAAGTCAGAGGTTAGGGAAAGACAAGGGGGGAAGAGAAGAGAAGGAAGAAGAAATTAAATTCCACAATCAGGAAAACCAGAGTTCTCTCCACACACACACACATCGTGTTTCAGTTGCACCATGACGATCCCAGGAAAAAGGAAAGCAGCAATACGGCTCCGTTTCCTCCAAGACACAGTGATCACTAGCACAGGCCCCGAATGCCATGCTGTGATCTGCTGCGCTCACAATGAATGACAGGTGCATGTTTTTATGTACGCATCCCATGGAAGGTAAAGAACACACTGGTGGGGTTGGAGAGATGGCTCAGCGGTTAAAAGCACTGGCTGTTCTTGCAGAAGACCTGGGTTTGAACCTCAGCACCCACATGGCGACTAACAACCATCCATAACTCCAATTCCAAGAGGTCCAACCTTCTTTTCTGTCTTCTGTGGGCACTATATGACATGGCTGGGACTAAAGGCATGCGCCAGCACGCCAGGCATGAGATATGTTTTGTTTTTTGTTTTTTGTTTTTGTTTTTGGCAAACAGGAGGTTCTGGGGCTGAGGATGACGGCCTGGAGGGTACTCAGCATGCAGGTGGCACAAAGGGAGAGGCCTCTGAAAATCCTGTTCAGGTAGATGAGGGATTTACACATGATGGCATCCCATTCTCCCTGAGACATAAACATGTCCACAGCTACGAGTCCCATAGTCATCAGCATCAGTAGTTGGGTTAGGGACAAGAGACCAATGTACAGGTCAATGAGTCTGGGCCTATGCCCTCCAATGAGTATGAGGATGTGGAAGAGAAGAAGGAAGCTGTTGGCTGAGATCCCAATGCCCACTCCAGAGAACAAGATGTTTCTTATGTTACTGTCAGTGTAGAATCTGTTGTTATTCAACATTTGGGGAAAGAAGCAAATGGTAAAAGTCTGAGGAGAAGAGAAAAAATCATTACAAATATAACCTTGCTCATGAATCTCAACTATCACAAGTGCCCTCACCAAAATATATTGATTCATCCCTATTCAGCTTCCTTCCATGTAAAACTCAGCTCCACCTCACAGTGTCCAGAAGCCATCCTCACTCTCCCCACAGTCCTAACTTTCTACTCATGGCTGGGTTTCCTTTACCCTCATGTGAGTTTCTCCGGACAATGTTTCAGTTTGTTTTGATGTGTATCATCTTGTCAGGTGTGCAACAGCTCTACTTTTGGTGAATTTGAAGAGGACTGGATAAAATGGCCATTAAGTACAGAATGCCCATGTATTAGACACACACAGAATCGTCTTTATTCAGTGCTCTATTTATCCTCATTTCTGCCAGATCAAATATTCTTCACGTGGTTCCATTGGAAATACTACTAACTGTCAACTCTGAATCCAGACTACTTCAAACTCTACCCACAATCTGCCATTTACTCTAAGTGTGACCTTGAGTACTCTGAGGCTGAGCTCCAGTCACCTCATGCAAAACCTGTGGACAGTCATGTACCTGTGTCAGGGAGACACTACATGTGAAAGGGAATGCAGTCTACGCACCAAAGATGGAAGTGTTTTGGCACATGGCAATCTCTGTGGGGATGTTGGCTGCTAATTTCATTCTCATGAAGTTCCTTATGCCTGTGATCTTGGAGAATTAATGCAGTTCTTTTAATGCCTAATCAGCTCTATCCCTGGCTGAAACAGAGAAGATAAAAATATCAAACTGTAGAACATTTGAGCAATCCCTTTCCAGGGAACACTTATAAGTCTTTTCCTTGAATCCTACTAAGTGTCCATCTTACATATCTATTTACCTCCCTTATTTACATGCTGAAAGAGAAAAACAGACCCTTCGCAGAGTCTATTCATTGTGGCAAGATATTAAAATCAAACGTAAGGTGCAGGGCCTTTGTAGGATTCAATCCATTCCACTTTAAGTTAAAATTAGATGAAAATTACCCAACCCAATCTTGAAAGATGGACCCAGAGGAGTCTGAGGTTCCATGTCCCTTTGAGGAAGCAGTGGCACCTCTCCAGACTCCAGAGACACCAGCACAAAATTTGTGAGAAAATTTAGTATTTCATAAGGAACATGTGCATCTCCTTTAAGTAAACTGTCATACATAGGAGGAATATAATGTTGTGAATATTTTTCAAGTTATATAGTAAAAAAGAATTATCATCTAAAATTAGGGGTATAAGTAAGCTATTTTATGGTTATATAGGCCACGTGGCTTTTTAATGTAATATATTAAGGAGAAAATAACAAA